GCATAACCTGTATACCATGTTTCAGAAACATTTCCAGTGAAATATTTAACTAAAATATTTCAGAAACTTGTGCTTGAAATGTTATATGTTTGAAATATTTCTGAAACATTTCTGAAATAATGTGTGTTGTATGGGTGGGATCCATACTAAGACCTCTACTTTTCATCATGTTCATAAATGATATCAGTAAATACATTAAATCATCGAAATTTTTACTTTTTGTAGATGACATAAAGCTATTTTTTAAAAATCAGCTCCCATAAGGATGTAGATGTTTTTTAGTCTGATATTAATAACATCTATAAATATTGTAAACTCAATGATTTGTCCCTAAATGAATCCAAGTGTATGGTTATAATTTATACTAGAAAAAATTAACAAATAAGAGGTAAGAATAAAATAAACAGAGCTAAACTCCAAGAATTAAATGCCATTTAATAGATGTTGTGTTCACTAAGAAACTTCTTTTCGTTGATCACTATAAACATCTAACATCCGAGTGTTATAGAACACTGGGATTTGTTCTAAAGATTTGTCACGACTTTACTTATCAGACAATTATCTTACTTTTAAATTCGTTTGTCAGATCAAAACTAGAATATTGCAGTCCAATTACTGGATATGAAATGTTAGAAAGAATTCAAAAAGGAATTCGAAGAGCAATGCACTGTAAAAATTATGATATTTATCTAATGTTTTATCTCCTACCAAAATCAAAAAACTGAGTTCAGTATTAAATTGCTAAGTAAACATAGAGACCACCCAGTCCTCTTTATATTTGACATCATTAATGGTAGGATATATAAACCCAGTATATTATTTAGGATCAATTTAAATGCGCCCGATACTCTATTTCATATTATTAAAAATCGAAAGATGCCTTAAACCAATTAAGATTTATTTTTCTTTTCGCATCTAGTGACATAATGAACTTTTCTTAATCAGTTAAATTAGGTTTTTTCAACAATAATTTCTAAACCTTTCAAGCATGCGTCAATTCATAGAACATTTTAAGCATGCGCTATTAAAAAATAGCAATCTTATATTTTTTTCAATTTTTTTTAAAGTTTAACTTGATTATTTTGGCACTTGCGCGATTATATTTCAAAAATAGAAAAAATAATATTTGTAGAACCAGATTTATATATTTTTTTTATTTCATTTATTTTTAAATTTCATAAAGTTCTCTTACGCCAAACATCTTATTTTTGTGCTCGTTTTATCTATCAAGTCTCGCGCGTCAATGTTCAATTTCACAATAAACATAAAAATAATCACATTGTCAGTTTATTCATTATCAAAAAATGAAATGGCTACGCTACCAAGGTGACACCATTTAAAACACTATAATATATTATGTTATTTAGAAATAATTGGTTTTCATGATCAGTTGCCTAATTCCACACACATTTTTTACATCTTTGCTGACTTGCAACCATCTAATAACTGAAAACATCAACAAGTGAGAAGATTTTTGTATGTCGAGGTGATCTGTAGGACTTTGACCTGAGAGGCTAGCTATCCCTAGACACCCTTCCTGTGACAACCAGCAGGTTTTTGAAGAATTAATAATCTGTAAGTATTTGACGAGCTAAGAAGATGACTGTCTGTAGACATCCCTCAGCGTCAACCAGCAGGTTTTTAAAACGAGTTGATAACCTGCAGGACTTTGATGAAATTGAAAGATGGGCTGGGCTGTCTCTAGACACCTCTCGGTGACAACTAGCAGGTTTTGAGAAGTTGATCCCACCACGTGTAGACTGCATGGAAGAGGAAGAAACCTCATATCATGTTATCTTCGAATGCGAAGCTCTTGCTAGGCAGCGTCTAAGTTTTTTCAACCTAGAAAAGAAAGAACGCATCAGGAACACTTGATAAGAAACTTAATAAAACTCACCAAAGACACAGGACTATTCCAAAGGTAGTACCTGAATACGGGGAAAGCAGGGGAATACAATAGACCCAAGAGGCCGCTGTGTTCTGGGTCAAATCTAACATCTCACTATACCTGCTTACAACCGACAAAGATAAAGACAACTTGAGAGACAGGTTCCATATGCCCCCAGAGGATGCATAATGTGCCCTATGAGGCCTAAGTGCTGTGGAGCAACCCAGTGTCCCCATCTTACAGATTCAGATATTAAAAATGAATGAATATATAGATATCATATTGTGTTATTTATCTGTAAGATATTTATCAAGAGAAACATGAAAGTTTGATTTTAAAATCTATAATTTAGATAGAAGATATTATTTTTCTACATACCTACCTTAGGTACATCTAACGGTAGATAAGATTAAGTAAGTAGGTAGGTAGGTCGTATTTGAGAAATTATATTTCATGCAAGTGGTGAAATAAGGATACCTGAAAAAAACGATAATCGATTCCTAGTTAGGTAGCTAATAATTAAATAAAATATTGTTATTATCTTTTATACCTACATTTATTAGTTAATTGAGTGTACGGTACGTGTGGTATCAGATCCCCAGCTACCTACACCACTGAACATATTAAAATATATATTCCTCGGTAGTAATCAGCCAAAATTAAATATAGCTACAAAATGAACTGAAGCATCCAAATTGAAGTACAGATTTAGTTTTAAGTATGACTCATAGTCTGTTTTCCTGTTGCTTTATCCATCTTGCTAAGCGCTAGCGTTGTCATCTGGGTCACCATAAACACAGCCACCCTATTGAAAATTATTTTTAGAAAGACTTATAGCGCAGTCAAAGTGGACCGCGATTTTGAGTGTAAACAAAAAAGTTAAATCGGGAGAAAACGTGCCAAATATAATTTCGATATATATTCGGTTATTTTTAAAAATGTGTCTTTGAACCTTAATATACTTTCTATGTTTAGATTTATGTTAGCACGATCAGTATATAGATATTTGAAAGTGGACATTTGCAAACTGAAAAATATATTTAAAAGTATCCACAGAGAACAAAATCATAAGATGAAAAGGACAACTGATTTTTAAATAATATGATAATTAGTTGCAATTTTATGGATCTGACACCCTATCAAAATAATAATATAAAAAAAAAACCGATACATTTAACAAATAATGTTTAATTATCTTGCAAAATTATGAACATCGTCATAGATGATGATAATATTAGCAAAAATAAGCAAAGGCTAAACATAGACCATCATAATATATATAAAAAAAAACCGGAAACGTTACATTTAACAAAGAATGTTTGTTCATTTGTGCAAAATTACGAACAAATAAATTGACAATCTTTGTGAGATAGCAAACAACATATAAAAAAATCAAAAAATTGGATTACAAAAATATAGACATTCTAAAATCGATATTTAATTGGACAACATTGTTCTTAGTCTAGTTAAGAAAAAAAGAAGTGACTTTTACTGTACTATAACTTATATAACACGCTCCTCTCTCTTGTAGATGACCAGAAATACAGGTATTGAAAATTACGGTTGCCTGCTTAGGAAATGTATATTGCATTTTAATACAACCAAATTAAAAGTTTATTTGGATGACAACTAAAATATTGAATGTATCTACGTGAATAAGCTATTTTTAAAGCTACGCAATAACCGAGGCAATAACTATGTAATTATAAAATTAAAGCATATAGAAATATAACAAATAGACTAGATGATTGAGAAATTAAAAATAACACATTAAAAATTGGGGGTTTACCATTTTGTATAATTAATCGTAATTAAGCAGACGTATTTGAAAAATAACATTACTCATTCCTAATTTCATTATAATATGAATTAAGATTAAATTACTATCTAATTCTTTGTGTAAACATTTATCTATATTTTGTAAACAAATGATAAACCGGAGAGAGAAGTAGTTTATCGGGCAGTTCCAAGAACAATTCTTTAATAATTATATCATTCATTCCGTAATACGTACCATACTATTTTTTAATATACAATGAATGAATTCAAATAAAATAGTACAGGAATACCAATTAAATTATACGGAAGCGTAGAAGGGTCACAAAATATTTTTCCAAATTAGAAAAATAGATAATTCCGACTTACAACTCCGATTTGTCCCGTTTTAGAACTCTGAAAAATATATTATTCCGTCTTAGATCTCGAAATAATAGATTTTGGTCATCTGTGGGTATACAGTTTGTCATTAAAAACAATAATTGGCTCATTGTAAAATAAATAGGCATTATATCTGCACCCAAAACTGTAATTTTTAGTACAAACATTCATCTGTGATATTTTAAAATAACTTATTGAATTTATGTTATTTCTCAACTACTACGATGAAAATATAGGTGTGTAAGGATTAGCTCAGATTATTTCAAATCTACTAAAGTAAGGATACAATCATTAGACATTTTTCTGACTTAGAAATCATAAAAATCCATTTGTTCTAAGTCGGAATATTCTATTTTTCGGGTTTTAAGTCGGCAAAATCTGTTTTTCTGAGATCCAAGTCGGAATAATCTATTTTTCAGAGTTATAAGTCGGACAAATCGGTTTTTCCGAGTTTAAGACGGAATTATCTATTTTTTCGAGTTCCTAGCTAAGTTAGAAAAATCTATTTTCTGAGTTCTAAGTCAGTATGTCTTTTTCAAAGTTCTAAGTTAGAAGAATCTATTTTTCGGAGTTCTAAATCGGAATACTCTATTTTTCCTAGTTCTAAGTCGAAATAATTTATTTCACCGAGCTCTTAGTCGCGGAATAATCCATTTTTCATGTTCTAAGTCGTAAAAATAAAAAAAAATATATTGTGGCTTTTCTACCTTCCGTAATATCATGTTTTCATTAATAAATTTTAAATATTAATAAAAATCATTTAAGAACTAATTGGTGTCAACAGAGTTATCGGACGTGAAAGTAGTTTTTTAGTGTTCTATATAAATATGGTCACTTGTGTATCATCCTGAATTTTTATTTTAAAAAAGATCGTCGCAATCAAAAGCTACTTTAATGAATAATTTCCAAAAAAGTTAATAAGTGAAAAATATATATATATTTTTTTTTATTGCAGAAGCAGCTAGGAAAAATGGCTCACGGGTGCTGGTTCACTGCCAAGCTGGAATCTCCCGGAGTGCAACTATAGCTATAGCGTATATCATGAAGTACATGTCAATGTCGATGGTAGAAGCGTACAAGAAAGTGAAAGAAGCCCGACCCATAATATCTCCTAACTTAAACTTTATGGGGCAACTTTTAGAATTAGAACAAAGTTTGCGGAATGACACGCCTAACACAACTAACAGTCTCCAGTGTCGCTGGGCGCAACAGCAAGCGGCAGACGAGGCGCCCGGATGTAGTGTGTGAAAATATTAGACAATCAAAGGTTTTTATTTTTATAAATGACCCGAAGTAGTCATCAGCTCGCCATAGAGTTACATTCTAGTCTTATCTGTTTTGGTTAAAATGGCTGTGTACCATTAAAGATATTTGAATACATGAATGAAAGAATCATCATCTGGAGCGTCTTTAGAAATCATCATTATCCCTCTAATCACGAAAAATTTGCATTATACGGTTCAGCTTGAAAAAGCTAATAACTAAATAAATCATTTAATTTTTTTATTTCGTAAAATTGGGTTTAACCGCAGGTCTTTTTGTGTTAATACAGACGGAATAGTTTTTATATACTTTATATTAAACGGTTTTTTTATATTATTATGTCCTGTGTTTAAACAAATTTTCAAAAAGCAAACTCCATTCATTATTTATATTTAGAGAGGGAGAATAATGTTGTAGAGACGATCCGGTTTTTTAAAAACATATACTGATATTTTGTAAATGATTTTTCAAGCAGCTGAAAAACGATATAACCTGTGTGTAGTAAAAAGTTTTTGCTTGAAAAGAAAAAACTTTAGTGGGGCTGCGTAAATAACTATCACTAAGTTGGCAGCAGTTTGTACATTATAATTATTTTATTTATTTACTTATTTTTAGTAATTTTATAAGAAGATTCAAGTTTTATTTGTTTTCTTCGGGTATAATCCGAATATTTAATATGTATTTCTTTTTCTTTTGTAATGTAAAACTGGACAAAACAAAGATTTTTTATGAAAAGTTTTTATTATTAAAAGTCAATGTTCTAAATAATTTGGCAAATGACTTTTATTGTATTTGTATCCCTTTTTATGACAAAATAACATTCAATTACAGTTTATTTGTTAATTTAAGAAATTATGAAACTTAATTCGTTATTGTCTTATCGACATTTGACTAATTGAATGTTATTTTATTATAAAATGATAAAGTTGGTAGAATCATTGTAAAAAGTACATTTTTGATTTTATTTGGAAATATTTTAAAATGGTTTTGACTCTTTAAGAGGTATTGCTCCAGCATGAGTTTGGGTACTTGTTAAATAAATTTGTTCTGTAGCAATACTTAATAAAACCGTTATATTTTCGAGTATTTTTGAATGTAATTTGGATTTAGTTTTGTATTAAAGTCTGATATCTAATGCAAGTTGATTTTAAGTTTTGAAAAATTGTTCTCGCGGATTCAAATGGTAAAATGATTACCTAACAAGTTTAGTCAATGTTCTAATAGGGAAAAGATTTTTTGTGAATGGAGAATTTATGGAATGTATTATTGTGACCGGCGGTAGGAAAAATACACTTATAACCAGGGTTCTGATAATTATTATTGTGATTTTTCATAGATTTTAGGTTAATTTTTATTACTCAACAGGTACAAAAAAGGTGCGTTTCTTATAGTAGCGATTTGGTTTAGTCATAAGAATATTGATTTTTCTAATAATTATTAAAAAAAAAACATAAGGCACACTTCGAAAAATGTGTCTTTAAACCACTTTTATTTATAACCAAAACAATGAAGTGTTTAAGACAGGAGTGAAAAATTAGAATAAAGCTACAAAGTGGTTGGTCCAATTCGATGTCTCGATGATTCCCTTTCGCTCCCCTTTTGCTCCCGCGCTATCTGGCTTGAATTATTTTTAGTGGCGTTTTTTAAAATTGTTTTTTGATAATGCTGCGCAAACGGCTAGACTGAAACTAAAACTTCTTGTCCAGTCTTCATCTAGAGGATATTAGTGACAAAAAACCCTATAGGAGTACTACCCTAGTATTCATAGTTTACCAGACGGTCCGGAACAAAGGCACGTCTTGTCGTTGGAAGCCACGCTCCCATGTTTTTTTGTTCGAGTCAATAGCTTAACAATTAAGGGAATGGCAAGTGCTCAAAAACGGCTGATGTTGGTAAATTTTATTATTTTTATAAAATTTACAAACGTCAGCCGATTTTGAGCACTCGCCTGTAATCAACTTGGCCGAGCAGTGCAAAACATGGGAGCGTAAACTTCAACATTACATGCCTCTCTTCAGGACGCTCTAGAGGATAAACTATAAATACTAGGGGTAGTACTCTCGCTGGGGTTTTGTCACAAATATATTCTAAAAGAAGATTGGAAAATAATTTTTCATTTCAGATTAATCTTTTGCCCCATGTTCTCAGAAAATTGTATTTTATTTTTCGAAAAAACGCCCCTTAAAAACACAAGCCAGATAGCCCGGGAGCAATTGAAAGGGGAGTAGTAGCTTTATTGTAATTTTTCACAGGTTAATTTACTCAATTTCCTGGCCTTCTAAAAATATATCTATTATTTTATCTTATATACAGGGTGATTCCTAAGTTCTTACTTGTTTTTTAATTGTGTATAGAAGTCATTAAAATTAACAACTTTTTCAAAAAAAAACTGAAATTCAAAAAAATCATAAGGATTTAGATCTGGGAACCTCTGCAGCCAGAAAAAGTAAGTTGCAATGGATAAGTTGCAATCCCACCGAGATTGCCAGATTTAAATCCTTTCGTTTTTTATTTTTTTTGTTTTTATAAATGTTAAAAAGTATTAACTTAAAAATCAAACTGAAAATAAACCACCGACCTTTGCGAACAAAACAAATTAATATTTTAGAAAAATCATTACTTTTTTCATAATAATTTGATGTTATAAATAAATTTAATAGCGGACCAGATATTTTTTTCATTAATAAATAATGCGTGTACCAATAAGTTTGCACTTGTGCAGATTTAAGCAACCACTTTCTAAAATTAATGTTTTATTTTTTTAAATAAAACAATGTTCATTTTTGTGTATGTACATGAGTCAATCCGAATAAAGTGGCCCAAAAAATATTGACTATACAGTGTTGATTGTTTTTTTTTTACAAATGGCTTCAGTTGTCATGGCATTCTTAAATATTTTTCCAAACAATTCAGACTTCCATTATAATTGAGGACCTTGTTGCAAGAAGGAAACAGCTCCATTTTTGTTAACTTTTGGGGAACAAGAAAAGCGTTTTATAAAAATGCCGGTTGTTTTAACAAAAATTAAACATTCTGAGAAAAGGATGACATATTTACATCTAACCTACAACTTTATAATATATTTTTGTTTAAAAGAAGAAAAAAATGGAAAACCAATTAGAGCTGCTCCCTCTTGCACCAAAGTTAAAAAAAGAAGGTACTCTTTGTACTTATAAAGTAAAAAATTTAATAGTTTTGCCATAACAGTTACCTCTGTTTCTTACACCAATCGATTAAGCTAAAGTACATAAAATAACTACAATTTTAATCGGCAGCCAGATTCTCAATTCAAATTGTTAGAGAAAATGTAAGATATCAATAATCAGAAATGCATAATTTCTGTTTTGTCAAAAACAAGTCTTTTTTTCGATAAAAAGACTTATGTATCTTCAATATGAGAAAGAATGCCAGATACATTGACTGACATTACTACAAATTAAAAAACGTAATCTAACATTTAATAGGAAAAACGAGTATTGTACAACCAATATTAGATGGACTACTTTACATATGGAAAGACTATTTAAGAGAGGCAAATTTCTTGAATAACTGTGTTCTCTTTCTAGTATTAAGTATATTGTATTATTTATTGTACAATAGGAAAATTATTATGTTTTATGACGAACTAAGTCTTTTAGTGTAGCTAAGTACCGAAAGTAACTGGCCTATATGTTTTTAGTACCTTAAAATGGATACTGTAAGAGGGTCTATCATGATGAAAATATGTGCCTTTTACATTTATACTTGTAAACTGTGTATAGATAGACTACAGACTGTATAAAATGAAGCCTCTGACTTTGTAAATACATAAAATGTTACGAAGAGATCTGTTTTTGTTTTTATAACCCTATTAGTTGTCCTCAATTCCTCGTTTTTTTTTTTAAGCATTGCTTATTAGATCCCATGACTATCATGCAATGAACATCTCCCCAGCTAGGCCAATAGCACAAGCAATGGAGCGTCTGGTATGTTGAACCAATACGATGTCCCGGGCTATCTGAATTACATTTTTTTAGGGGCGTTGTTTGGAAAACTTGTTAGTCTGAAATGAAATAATTTTTAACCCAGTCTTCATCTAGAGCAAGTGTACTAAACCTTTTTTTTTTTCTTTCGGGCCACATAAATCTGTTATGCTACACGGGCCACAATATTTTTGGGTGATAACTAGAGTTGCCACCTTTTTGAAATGCAAATAAAGGACAATGGGTGACGATAGGGATCTGCTTTAAATATTTTCTAAAAAAAGGTCCTCATATTGTTTTAAGTTTACATACTTTCTAAAAAAAAAGTCCTCATATTGTTTTAATAAGCTTTGAAAAGTCGCAAGGACAGGACTGTAGATCAACCATTTCAATTACTAATAATCGTGTTTGGGGCGGCACAAAAAAGCTTGGAGGGCCACACAAAACAGCTTGGAGGGCCGCACAAAACAGCTTGGAGGGCCGCAGGTTGAGTATGGCTGATCTAGAGGATAATTGTGTCAAAAACCCACTTTGAGAGTACTATCCTAGTTTTTATAGTTTACCCTACCATAGCCATACTCAACCTGCGGCCCTCCAAGCTTTTTTGTGTAGCCCCACACACGATTATTAGTAATTGAAATGGTTGACCTAGAGTCCTGTCCTTGCGACTTTTCAAAGCTTATTAAAACAACATGAGGACTTTTTTTTTAGAAAGTATGTAAACAAACAATATGAGGACTATTTTTTTAGAAAATATTTAAAGCGGATCCCTATCGTCACCCATTGTCCTTTATTTGCATTTCAAAAAGGTGGGAACTCTAGTAATCACCCACCCAAAAATATTGTGGTCCGTGTAGCATAAACAGATTTATCTGGCCCGAAAGAAAAAAGGTTGAGTACAGCTGCTCTAGAGCGTCCTGAATAGATGCATTTCTTGTCGTTGGGCCATGCGATGTATGCAACACGTTTTACAACGAGGAATATTTAAAACTGGCACAATGTTGCCATACATGCATTATTTTCTCGATAGGTTATTCTTTGGTTGTATATTAGATCTAAAGATAAACATACAAAAATATATTTATCCTAAAAAACGTCTTATTATTTAAAATTCACTACTACAGTACATTGTTGAACGAGCTACAATTCTGAATACAAACAGATCTCATTTCAACATGCTACGGTTTCTGTAAAAAGTACTATCCATCAACAAAAGAAATATTTAAATATTTAACCCTGCAAATTTTATATTAAAATCGATCTCCCTATTATAATTCCCAATTTTGAAAACAGAACGTTATATCGGGGAGGAAACCTCAACCACTCGATACGACAGGCCACTGGAATTAAAATCTGAATGTCGTCGTATGAATAACATAAATTAGATTACTGTTATTACGAAAAATTCACATGGTCTGCGGCGGGATTAAACCACCGCGTCGGAATACTTAGAAGCTCGACTTACCAATAGTCTACAAAAAAATCAGTTTTAATTTTAGTCAACTGCAATTTACAATAAATATATTTTAAGGACGATTTAAAATTTCCCTGAGGTCTGAGTTTAACTTTTATTTGGCAACGTTGAATCGAGTTTAGATGGTTAGCTAAAAGATGTCTAAAATCAAACTTCAAATTTTAAGTGCTTCAAACTGTCAGTAAAATTTGACAGTAAGCACCGCGTAGTGTTTTGTGCTTTTGTGGTCAGCTGCTGCAAATGTACGGGACGGAGACGACAGAAGCAGACGGTCTTTGTGCCCCACTTTGTTGTTCCAACTTCCAACAGTTCCATCCAAGATGTGTCGCTTGTGTTAACCAAATTTATATACTTATTTGGTAGTTGTTCAAGGAAAGGAAAGTCGATGTTAAGAAATGGCTATTGATGGATTTTACAAAACAAATCCAAAAGTATTGTGTAATAAAATTGTGCCACTATGGAGTGATGTGATTGTATTATTAGTTAACAATTCTTGATTTGGGGTAATAGATGGAGGACAAGGGGGTGAAACCGCGGCCTCGATCAAATTCAGCAAGAGTATTGGTTTTTAATGAACCAAAGCCTGGTATCCGTTTAGAGCAGAGGCAAAATTCTTGTGCTGAATCATGGATTTCACGAAAACATCAATCAGGTTTGCTATATTACCTACTCACTTTATTTTTTCCTATGAGTAATCGGCTGTTAGTGTTACATTGTCATTTACTTACCTTATATTTCAACAATAGTTTTGTTTTTATTTGTGTTGATATGATAATTATGTATCAATTAGTTAACTGTTTGTATAAACAGAATATTAAGTAGCTTATCTATTTAACTTTCTCCAAAATTTTCGTTTTCTATAACTATAATATTCATTTTTAAGCACATTTAAGTACGTTTTGAAGAAAAATAATCTTTCAGACATCATTATTTTCACAATTAGTTCCAAAAAAGGTTTTTTATTAAAAAAATGTAGCATGCTGTAATAAAAAAACAATGTATACAAAACAATGTACTTGACAGTAGTTGGTTATTTTCAGATATATTTGAAATATTTTTGAGAAGAAAACGGATTTTTACTTACTGGGGTCACCATTTAATAGTGAATTTATAAATATTTAAATAAAATATAAATAGTAAACAGCATTTTCTACCTGTAAATAATATGGTTAAGTCAGTTTTTCAGGTAAGATGTACTATCCAAAAAGGTAAATAGATAAAGATACAATGCATGCTTCTTACAATAAAACATCCAATTTTAGTATATAGATTTGTTTGTTTAGTTTTGTTGATACAATTTATACATGTAAAGTGTAATCTGTAAAAGTCCTGTTACAAAAAACAAAAAAGGTTTGTTAACAGTAATTTATCATTTATGATCCTGCTTGATTAACTTTGACAGACCTTGATGTCTGACTGACATGAACTTCTAATAAGCTGTATTAGTGTGACATAATTTGTGTGCCAAACAAAAACAAACCATTCTGTCATTGATTTTGACATATACATTTTAAACATTTTATTTTTTTTAATATTGTTTGCAGGTTGTAAATAAAGTTATGTAGCCAAATTATGTAACCATTACAGTAATAAACTTTTAAATATATACAATCTTGAAGATAATAGAAATAAAATGTTAATGATTACACAACCTCTATTTTTATATAAGTATTGTTTTATTTTATTTTAATTTTTTTATTGAACGTACAGGAAATCCTCATTATAATAAAATATATATAAATCATTTAAAAGATAATACATTTTTATTCACCCAATGCAGTTTTACAATAATATAATAAGTTACTATTAAATACAAAAAATATAAAAATAAATTTAGTGCACCTAGGTATGTGTAAAAACATAAGTAATAAAATACTTACTTAGATTTTATATATAAAAAATTAAAAATTGAGAATCGTACAATAGGGATAGATGAATGTGTTTTTTTAATAGATTTAAATTATTTTAATGTAGGTATTCTTAAAAATATCAATATTAGGAGTAATATATTGTGTCAATTTCTTATTAAATATTAAGTAAATAAACTCTGAATATTTGTGACTAAGTGGCAATAATTTATAAATTTTTAGGACCCACATATGTTTTGAATTTTTGACTTGAATCATTTTAAAAAGATGGAATTCTCAAATTATTATCAAGTCTAGCTCTAGAGTTATATTAGTTCAGGGTGTTTATATATAATTGTACAGCAAGTGGTAGTATAAAGTTCTTATGCTAAGCAGTTTATTATTATATAAAAGTGCAGTAGGATATAGATGTGGTCTTTTTTATATTATTTTAATAATATGGTTTTGAAATACTTAAGAGGGTAAAGTGCTACATCGTATAACCCTCTCCATATTATGATACCATATCATATAATTAATTCCACTAATGATTTGTAGACAGTGAATAGCAATTTTGACTCAAAAATTTAGTCAACAAGTAAAATTTGTAGATAAATCTACACACCCTTATTGTCAATGATTGGACCTGCTCATTTTAAATTTTAATCAATGCTGATCTCCAAATATTTGCTTTTATTACTTATTTTGAATTGAATTCAAGATAAAAATATTTTAGAGTTATTTAGTAAACACTTATGATAATCAAGCGAGTTTTTTTATTAGATTAATTTCTATTTGAGTTTTTTCCCTAATTCCCTCCTAACAGGAGTAACAGAATCATCAGCGTATGAAATAATGGAATCATTTACTTGCAATTTTAGTAATGAATTGAAATGTGCAATAAATAAAATTGGCCCACACAAAGTTCCTTGAGGCATACCCATTTGAACTGTTTCCTGTTCACTCAAGATGTTATTTAATCTGACCATTTGTTTTCTGTTAAATATATAATTCATAAACAGTTCTAATACAATACCCCTTAATTCATACTGCTTTAGGAGTAGTTCATGAGGTACTGTATCAAATTATTTTGCCATATCCAAAAACATCATATTTGTCACCCCTTTCTAAAGAAAGTTTGAGACGATTACGTCAGACGTTTCTTATTTCCCGGTACATCACGTTTTTTAGTCATTATTAAATTGCCCCCCTCCCCGGGACATCCTGTATTTTTAGCTAACAAATAATTTCCTCCCCCCTGGGACATCCTCTGTCCCGAATTTTAATTGTTATTTAAACTGTATATGTATAGTTTTATAAGGGCAACAAAAAAAATTTTAATCTTACACAGTCTTCTTTAAAATATGCAAAATAATTTGTAATTTTGAGTTTAAATAAAACTTTATTAAAATATTTGTTTTATTTCATTTGTCCCTGACAAAAAAAACCAATTCGTTTTTATCTACTATTTTGTTAATTTGTCTTTTTATTTTGAAAGGAAAATCAATCAAAAATCAAACCCCTTCTTAAATCATTTAATTGATAATGATAACAGATATTTAGTCTATAAACAACTTTGTTTGGCACACAAATTACGTCATCACTAACACAGTGCAATACCGAGTCTAAACATCTGTCAAAGTTTATGAGGCTCCTGAATTTTTATGAAAGTTGTTGCAATCAGCTGATTGTTTAATCATATTTTTTCTCATTAATAGTAGGTAATGCATACCTATTTTACATTATAGTAGATTACATGCAGAGGCGGGAAATGCATCATTACGGTCGAGATAGCCGAGACCCGAACGATAATTTCCGCCAAGGTTTGTATACTATTTTATTCAGTATCATTTATTTTTAAACATAATTAAAAAATTACCTATGTATTGTTTTTGAAAGTGCTACTATCTTATAAATTGCCTGAAATTTTATAACATTACTTAGTTATTTTTGGCTCTGTGAATTTAATTAAAGAATAAGGAACATACCCAATTAGCAACATAACATATCCGAGTGTGATTAATTATTTGAATAAGGAGTTATGATGTCATTCCCGACATTCAAATGCAGTGGCGGCTTGTGGTAATTTAAAATGGGGGTTCAATTTTTTCCAATAATTTTAGCATTTGTAAAACTTTGTACAAGAGTCAATGTCCCTCAAAACTTTTTTGGCATCGTCCGTTTTAACACAATTAAATTCCGATTTTTTAATAAGATTCCTGAGTCATGAAAAGGTTGCTTGATACCATCACTTAGATGATCCATTACTAGAAATGGTACAAGCGCAGAAACTACTTTCATTCTTGATTAAATTATGTGGCTCTACAAAAGCTACTATACCCACCCTGAGCAGTGCAAAGCCAAGATGAAAATAATGGGTTTGGTTCAAATTTCGCCCAGTAGAAACGTTTAAATCTTTATTTACGCTACATCACACTGTAAGTAAAAGCAATCGTATTAAGTAAAATCAAATACGCACTGCAAACCCTGAACAAAATACAAAAATCGGTTATTTTAGATTAATCGGATATTTTCGATTTTTTAGTGATATTATATTCGATTTTGATTAATCGATTACAATATTATACTGTTTTCAAACACTACAACTATTAATTAACTTGCTGTACTCTAGTGATAAATAAATAATCGATTCATAAAAGTAATCGATTATTAGACAAAACGATTAATCGAAAAAATCGATTAATTGAAAAGAATCGAACAGAATCGAAATAAATTGAATAGAATCGAAAAGAATCGAACAGAATCGAGAAGAATCGAAAAGAATCGAAAAGAATCGAAAATAATCGAAAATAATCTAAAGAATCGAAAAGAATCGAAAGAAATCGAACAGAATCGAAAATAATCGATAAATCATAAAGAATCGATTATTTGTAGAATTTATAGAAATCTACTGAAATTTATCAAAAGAAAATTGTCTACTAAAACTATCCAAAATAGCTGGAAACCTACCAAAAAAGCAGAAATCTACCAAATGTGGCAACGTTGAATCTAAGACTCCCAATCAAAGTGACCTTGACTAAGCACAATAACTAATCGTTGGACCTAGAGAAGTTAACTGTCGTGACGTAATCTACGTGCGATGCACAAAATGATGCTAAAAATAGCGTGGTTTCAAGCAGGCACACTACTGTTTCACGGATCTATTAACCTGTCTCTTTAACATTCATTCTCAGACACCTCTCGCGTTCACTAGACATATTGAACCGACAGACGCGATCGGCCTGAGCGTAGTGGGGCACCAAAAAAAGTAGAGAATACGTACGAAAATAATAAATATATTAAAGTGAATTTATATTATTAAGTTATTTATATATGATTTTAAAATAATGTGCTCTTATGAAATTTAACTGGGTGTTCATTGCACAAATGAACCAATGGAGAAACCGCCCCTGTTCAAATGGATAATTTCCACCCGTGGGAGGGAACTAATAGCCTATATTCCGACTTTTTAAAAGTTTGGAATTGAGTTATTACATAAAATGATTGTGAATAAAAGATTTCGCCGATGGAAACTGACATTTAAAAATGTCAGTTTCCACGTGGTCTGGAACGAATTATCTATACTTATAAACCTATTATAACATCATAATAAAGAGATACATAGAAAGTATTACAAATTGACCCAAACCGAGAAAGCCATTGTGTCATTTCGAATATATCTGGTGATAACCTTATTCAAATAATTCATCAAACTTTGTTATGTTTTTCGACTAATTGGCTATTTTTCTTCTCATTAATCTTTTATTAATTCACAGATCAATAATAATTAACTAAAGTAATGTTA